TTCCTTTTATCGGCCACGAAAATGATCCAAGAATTGGCATGGGTTAGCGTTTAACAAAATAAATTTTACTCTTTTCAATCTGTAATCTATAGGATACGGTATTCTTTTTTTCAATAGTAACAAACATTTCATTGCTTCTAATACATGCATTTTTTTTCCACTGTTTGTTCTGCCTCTTTTTGGCACCATTTATACGACATCATTGACACCAACAATAAACAGCAACGACAAATAATTTAGTAGGAAAAAAAAAAAAAACGTTTTTTTTTTTTCTTGTTTGTTTTTGCTCATTATTAAATATAACAATAAGAAATATATCTTCCACCTTCTTTCTTGCTTCTATATTTATTGTTTAGAAAATAATTTTTTTGGGAGGGATTTGAAAAGCAATAAGTAACTTCAGCAACAAAAAAAAAAGCAAAATAATAACAGTATTGATAGCAACAACAAAAAACCATAATTGAATGATTTGTTTATACGATTTCCTTTCAATAACAAAACCAACAAATTAGCAAGAAAAAATTATACATTACATTAAGGTTGGGCAGTCTTAAGTGTTCATAAGTATTACTCAAAACATAATATATTTGGAAAAAATAAAATTCTTTTCTGTTTTTCTTACTTTCTTTCCCTTCGTATATTTTTGACATGTATATATACAGGTTTTACATTGAAAAAGAGGTAATTTAAGTGTCAAATTAAGTACATATAGACAGGCATAAACACAAACACACACAAACCTTCTCATTATTCTAACATTTCAAAATGCATACTAAGATATGCAAATTTTTAGTTTTAACATATCCACCTTTTTATTTTTATTTTTTAATTTTTTTTTGTACTGTTTTGTCTCTTTTTTTTTCCTTTTTAGTGTTATCGTATTCAATTATTGCATTTTTGTTTTAAAATGACACTAACGATGTTGTTTCTATAACCGAAACAACAGTTATGTAACAACAGTATCTGCAGTGACGTTGTATTATATTTTTGTGAACACTACCTTTTTTCCTTTAGGAGACACACTGTTACTGTTCAATGGATGTTCTCCTTTTGTACATTTCTTTTCATCTGTCGTTTAAAACAACAGTTCGAAATATTATATATATATATATATATATATATATATATAT